ACGGGGTGAGTTCGGACCCCGCGGCGGTCAGCCCACGCACCGGTCATCGCACGCAAACCCTCCCCCACCCTCCGGGAAAACATCTGACGTACACCAATACATATATACACATTGTAATAACATAATATTATAATATTCGGTGGCTAATTATATTCACCGCGTGTGCTCACACAATATACGTATAGATATTATTATTATTATGCACATGCAATATCGCACGCATAGACACGCACACTTGCACTCTCCGGAGTCGTCGTCTGCTGTCCGAAAAACATCAATTACACGAGTCGCTTCGACACACACGCAAACTGCGGTACAACACACTGTTTTATTAAAATATATACTGCTGCAACCACTGCTGACGATTTGTAACATTAATACATTGTGTTGTGTACATAATGTTATGCTCCTAATACAATATGACGACCCCGTAACGATCAACCTCGGCCACATAATATTATAATCGTCCCCTCGAAAGTGCATCGCTCCTGTCGCGGGATAGGTCCCTCGGAGACCGATGTCCGATACGCAGCGAATATCGCGACGACGCGAGCTGCAGTGGACACCCAAACCGTTTACCATATTATATTTTGCAATATTCTGAAAATAGTTACCATAGTGGTCGCGCGCAATTATTGAGTTTGTTGTATTGGTATACCCTCACCACTGATAATATTGATTAATAAAAATACGAACACGGTATGACAATAGTTCATATTTTTATTATACTTATTACGATAACTAGCACTTTGGCGTCGTCTGCTGTCCGAAAAACATCAATTACACGAGTCGCTTCGGCACACACGCAAACTGCACCACACTTTTTTTTTAATATGTACTGCTGCAACCACTGCCATCGATGACGATTTGTAACATCACATCATATTATATTGTGTTGTGAACATAATGTTATGCTCCTAATACAATATTACGACCCCGTTGACGATCAACCTCGGCCACATAATATTATAATCGCCCCCTAGAAATTGCATCGCTCCTATCGCCGGATAGGTTCCCCGGAGACTGATTTCCGATACGCAGCGAATATCACGACGACGCGAGCTGCAGTGGAACCCAAATAGTTTACCATATTATATTTTGGGTATACAAAATTATTGTTATGCATATGAATGCGGTTTGTCCGAATTATATTATAATATATGTGACGCAGCTGCTGCGTTCGTATGGTGTTTATGTAGATCGCATTAATTAGTATCGTTTTAGCTGTCGTAGTATAGGTATTGCGATATTCATGAATATGGAGATCGAGGTCTGAGGAAAACGATGTGCTACCGTCCGCGGGTCCTGGCAGCATAGATAGATTCAAGTGTTATCGAAGAGCATATAATATACCAACTATAGTTACCAGAGTGGTCACGTGTCATTATCGAGTTTGTGATATCCCCTCACCACTGATAATATTAATTAATAAAAATACCAACTTGAAAACACGGTATGACAATAATTAATTTCACTATAGTTATTACGATTAATAGCACTCCAGCGTCTTCTGCTGTCCGAAAAACATCAATTACACGTCGAGTCGCTTCAGCACACACGCAAACTGTACAGCGCACACTGCCTTAATAATACTGCAGCAACCACTGACGATTTGTAATATCATATTATACAGGGTGATTTTTTTATCGAAGAACACTCATTATTTCAAAAAGTATTAATGCTTAAGAAAATATTTTTTTACATAGTTTCAAGTTGTTAAAAAACAATATTTTTATTAAAAAATTATATTTTTAAATATTTTTTATCCTTTTAATTTTTTAAGTTTTTTACTTTTTTGAATGACAACATCTAATTTTAATTTGATATTCAAAAACAGAATATTTTTCTGAGTATTTCGATACATAAAAATTGAATTTAGGGCAATTAGTTTATGAGTTATAAGTATTTAAAGTTTAGATGAGCGGAGTAGAGTGGTACGGGGTTACCCCGCGAAATGTTTGTCCTCTACTCCGCTCATCTAAACTTTAAATACTTATAACTCATAAACTAATTGCCCTAAATTCAATTTTTATGTATCGAAATACTCAGAAAAATATTCTGTTTTTGAATATCAAATTAAAATTAGATGTTGTCATTCAAAAAAGTAAAAAACTTAAAAAATTAAAAGGATAAAAAATATTTAAAAATATAATTTTTTAATAAAAATACATATTGTTTTTTAACTACTTGAAACTATGTAAAAAAATATTTTTTTAAACATTAATACTTTTTGAAATAATGAGTGTTCTTCGATAAAAAAATCACCCTGTATATTGTGTTGTGTACCACCCTGTCAATCGAACTCGCTATTATAATATTATCCCCTCGAAAGGGTATCGCTCCTCGAGAGATAGAGGTCCACCGAAGACGGATTTCCGATACGTAGCCGTCGACTGGCGATATCATGACGATTTGAACTGCAGTGGACACACGTCGTAAAAACCCAAACCATTTACCATATATTTTAAACCCCGGTATACCGATGTCGGGTCGCTCGTGTAGTTGGCTGCTAAAAGTCCAAAAATAATTTAAAGCTAATTATAGAGCACAAACGATATACGTATTTTACTCAGAAATACCTGTGGAATATTATACGTTTTGGCTTTATAATTTATATACGATTAGGCAGTTTGATTCTTATTTTTTATTCGTCGATAATTGGATTTATCAAATCGAATAAACTTATCATTTTTCAATGTACATAAATCACATCGTACGGTCTAAATAGACGCTTAAAAATATTGTGTTAAGGCGATCATCAATCACTTTTCTTTTCTTTTGGTATTACTAGACCATATATGATTATATAATAAATTGTATTGTACTACTACCTACCTACTGTTGTGCTTAAGTGAGCGTGCGCGGAAATCGATTGTTTTATCAAAACAACGACGACCAAACACAGCCGGCCACTGGCGCGGACTTCACCAGAAAAATAAAATAAATTTCAATGTAACGATGGACTTCTATTTCGACGATGACGACGAGTAAGTCCTGTGCTTCCTAACCTCATGGAGCGATGTGTCATCGTCACCGCCCCGGTAACAGCGGTAACATTTTGAGGTCACGCTCTACTAGCAATCGTATTGTTATCGTTTTCATTTATTAATTATCCAAAGGAACGCTCATCATGTGAGCGATGAACACGACATGGGTACCTATCTCGACGGTATACCTATATTGTTTTATTTTTCCATAATAATATTATACACTCCCCGGCGACCACTTGCGAGCCGCTTTATACTCTGCTGAACACGATTGCATTTTCCACGGTAAATTGCTTCACGGGCAATTATGCTGTCAGGTGACCCGGACGGACGAGCGATGGTGGTATTATTAAACTGAGGCGTCCCGCAAAAGCGAAAGGGTTAAGTTTCGACTTTGTTTAATTCTTTTTCGGCGCGTGTGTGCATTTATCATAACACAATGTTACTATTATTATTACTATTATACACCGGGTGTCCGACACGCGCGTGTATGTTATACCTATGTCCTATACAATATGTCCTAATAATAGCAATAACATTGGTCTATGATGTACGCGTGTGGCGGCCTATTTTCAAGCGTATGTCACGCGGCGACCTATCATTATGCAAATACCTCTCGATTAAAATAATATGTTAAGACCATATGGGACGCCGTTTAATAAACAGAAAATGAAAAAAATATGTTTTCCATTTTCCATACGACTACTGCACGTGCAAACGATCGAACTACGCGATATCGTACTGCAATCAGTTTCGTGGCAATTGGTCGTGGAAAAAGTGCCGTCGACCGGAAAATATTAATTTAAAAATACAAACTATTATATCGTTATCGGTGCGGTGTGCCGTCCGAGAGTCGCCACACCATAACGCGCGACGAGATGAAAAAATTAACAAACAGTTAAACATAATAACAATGTTATAATTGCCTATAAACCGATTCGATCTTACCGTACAATAATTTATTATTATTGTACACGATCAAGTGATAATTTATTATAGTGTATCACAGGTACCTGAAATGAGTACTTCGTCCACTAACGATTATCGGAGTGTAAATAAGATGGTCTAAGATTTCGGGATGATTAAATGAAGAAATAAACACACCACGTTAGGGAGGTTTTCAGAACACTTTTTGCATACCAACAAGTCGGACAAACTTTTCCGCCAACGTGCCTCTATCTACACATGTGTGCGATGCGTGCAATGTATAACACCTTCTTACCTATCTCGACTTATCTCATTGTTATCTTATTCTAATGTGTTTATTATTATACTTTTATATTTTAAACTAATATCGATAATAAAAACACGACTTTCGTTTTGTCCTACGGTTGAAATTAGCATACCATGGGTCATAATGACAATTATATTATGCTACGATGGCCGGTGAAACGAGCGGGTGAAGATAATGATTATAATATTATTATCTATTATACGGTCCATCGGATGGTCCAAGGCTCGCGCAATGCATCGGCGGACACGATCGTACCCTTGAAGAACTCGGTGTAGCTATTATACGACTAATCGCTTTCCCCAGAGAAGGAAAACGGCCGTATAAACGATACATTATTAGTAGTTATGTGTGTGCGCACTGCGGCAGATACATTACACGCGCGTAACCTCATACGCGCGACCCTGGAAAACGCGGTGCAGTCGGTGGCGGCGGCGGTTGGTATGGAGAAAAACCTAAACGTTCGTCCTTGTCACGACTTATGGATGATTTCTAGTCGGGAATTTTTCCGACGGATTTCGCAACCGATTCGTCTCGAACCAACGACCGGCGTCGCGCGCCGCCGGGGGACGTCCGGGATACTTATAAGTAGAAAATCTGACACGCATCGTCAGTACACGTTCAACACCGTTCGGGACAGTTAATATTGGAATAATCGTTCGAATACGTTTATCGGCTGTTATCGATCACACTCCAGCCATCGTCGTCGTCGATCGTATTCGCAATCGTTCCTCGTTCTGCGCACAGTTTTATAGACGGTACGTTGTTCAGCGATCATTGCGATGTTGGCTCTGAGGTGTGCCGCCATGATCGTCGCCGTGTGGCCGCTCCTCGCCGTCACCTCCGTGTCGGTGGTGGCCCGGCAAAAGCGACAGCTGCAGAACTCATACCTGGGCCTGGGATCCAACGTGGAAATACTTCCTGTCGGCGACACGTCTGGGGTGAGCAGCTCGTACAGCGTAGTGGAAACGTCCAAGGTGCCCCGCAGAGAGTATAACTCGTACAGATCGAGGAACGCGCACCGGGATTCAGAACCGGAACACTCCGAGTACCGGGCGTACAACAAGCACCCGTCACCTAGGAGCGGAGCCTATGCCGGAGAAGTGCCGGGACCGAAACCGTTCAGGTTCCCCGAAGAACGGCGGCAGACGAAACCACCTGCAGAGGACCGGGACGAAGACTTAGACTCGATACTGGTGCCCGACCACCGGCGAACAGACTTGACGCCCGCCAACCGGAAGAAGTATAAGCCCAAGAAGCCACAGACCGAGGACGTAGACGAAGAATCGTTGGAAGAATCGAAATCGGCACCCAGGAACGCTAAGGAACCAAAACCAGCTCCCAGAAACATCAAGGAGATCGTTGAAGAGCGGCCAGCCGAGAGCAAGATTTCCAGTGACTTGAAAGACGAGGGAAGTCGGTACGTAGGTCACGGGGCTGGTGGTTACGGAGGTGGCAGCGAGTACGACAAGGAAAAGCACTACGACAAGGAACAGGGCCAGAAGTTCTTGGAGGGCCACAAGTCAGAGGAGGGCGAGAAGGCGGAAAAAGCGTTCAAGAAGGAGGAGGCGTACGACAAGGGTGAGAAAGAAGACTACGGTAGCGACGAGAAACATTCACAGGTGGCCGAGAAGGCGGGCGAGAAGAAGGGCCACGTGGACCAGGCACAACATTTTGGTGAGGCGTACCACGGTAACCACGGCGAGAAGGGAATCACGGTGGTGAAAAAGGGCGGCCACAAGAAGGGTAAGAAGACGTCCGGGTTCCACAAGGTGCACCACAAGGACGAGTACAAGAAGGACGAGGTGTTCTACGACGAGTCGCACGATGGTGGTGAACATGAGGAACACAAGCATGAACAGGAGAAGCACGCCAAGGAGAAGGGTGGACACGAGAAGAAGGGTCACTCTGATACCGGTTATCACGAAAGCCATGGTTCGAAGAAAGCGGAGAGCGATCACGGCAAGAAGTACGAACAGGCCAAGGGCCACAAGTCCGAAGCTGGGGAGCAGGCTCACCACGGCCAACAGTCTGAATTCGCCAAGAAGGGTGGCGTCAAGGAGGGTGAGAAGTACGGGCACGCGGACGCTGGCGGTGGTGGTTACTTCGAAAAGGACGGATACTTTTGACCGGTGGCGTAAGTTCCTCGAAGACTTCTTTTTACAAGTTCGATGACGTGCTGCGGTGTGACACATGGACAGTTATAGGCGTTATAATATAAGTTGTCGTCCATTGCAAGTTTACACCAACAAAGTATGTCTAGTTCTCAAGTGTATTTAATTTAATTATTTTTTTTATTATTATTATTATGTAGAGGTACTTGTTTTATCCGCAATTGTTGTGTTTGCTATAATTTGTAAGGTTTTTCATGATATTTTTCATTTTTAAGTGTTATGAGTTATGACTTGTGTCATAATAAAAATATTGTTTATTTTTATTGATTTGAATGATAAAAATAACACATTTGGTTATGATTGAAAATTATATTGTTTTTATTACATTTTTAGCGAAGGTACATTAATAATATGTATCGAAAATGAAAATACAACAATAAGTTGATAAATGTCCATTGTGTTAAAATATAAATAATAACAGTTATGAAAACACTACTAAATTTTTACGAGTCTCGTACCAACGACATAATATTAAGTCATTTCAACAACAATCTTAGTATAATAATATATTATCCTACCATAATATGGCTTTGTAACAATTATGTTACATGACACCTGTGTAAAGAATATTATAATATAAACTCTACATTACAGACACGATATAATTAACTGCTGACCGATACAAAAATACATAATACACACAATTTGATAAAATTTACTGTAAGACAATGCTCACAATGCAAGTTAATATGGTACACATTATGGATAACATTGAACTCCATACGAGTACGAAGCAACCAGACGGCTACTGTAATACTTTGTTATACTTGATTTACATATGTGGTGTAATTAGATTTTTTTTTTTATGATGGCATTTAATCACACCAATTTGTTTTCACCATCAGGTCGTTTTCAAATCATCATTGTAAGTGCGTTTAATTTTATTTATGTACAAATGGTATGTACCTAGGCTTGTTTGAAGGGTAACATAATATTATTTAATATTTTAAAACATTTAAAAAAAATTAAAAAATCGAAAGCTGCAAATATCTAATTTGTCATGCATACCGATAATATGAATAATAAAATATATTACACGTTCATGCATATTATTATATTATACACATTTATATTATGCAGTTTTCATTATAATATTAAATTATTTTTTATTAAATTATTACTTTTACGTATCGCCCGTATCGGCCATCACGCGTTTATGAATTGTATGCCCACGAGATGTGTACAAATTTAGATGTGCCAAAGTACATTCTGACAACCCCTTCGCCCCTACCAAATGACGCCACTGATAAGTATATTGTTTTCGTAAGTTATGACCCAATAACAACGTAAATTGAGTCCTGGTAATAAATTACATTTATTTAAGGATCCTATTACATCCATCCGCCATCGGCGGAAGGTAATAATTATATCTACAAAGTCCCACGACCTCTAACTGGATATGACTTATATTGTAATATTATAAGCATGCGGTCACCCCCCGACCACGTTTATACCATGATGTTTACCGATATCGTCCATCGCAGCGACCACTGTCACATCGTGTTCGGTATGGATGAGCACGCGAGGTGATTTGAAAATACTTATTAGAAGAGTTGGAACTCGGGAAGTACCTCCACCTAAACCTTATCGTATAAAACGATCACACTTCGAGGTCCATACTTCTTCGCCTCAGTAGGAAATCGTATCACTAGAAAGCACGTATAAGTATGATAATAATAATGCCAGTGAGCTGTGAACCGTGCTATCCGATGTAAAGTAGATAGGTATATCGTAAAATAGGAAAATCGTCTGTAAAATCAATAACAACAATATACCTAATAATAATACACGACTGGTCGATCGAGTCGAAAATCGATAGGGTTACTACAACTGTATACACACGTCGAATTATTGTTGCAGTAGGTGCGATGATTGATATGATAATAATTATATCAAAGTGTTCTATCGTCCGACGACTCGAGATAAGGGGCGGGGGCAGAGCGTGAGTGTGTATGTGAGATCGATTTGTTATTTTAAAATTATACATTTTGATTTGGTTCTATTTGTTTTGGGAAAACGTAGTCATAGCTCTACGGTCAGGATGGATTTTAAAAAACAAAATATTTATCGAATCAAATAACAAAATTGTTATGGCACAGGTGCAGATTTAAGAGGGCTCTTAGAGTGCTGAAGCACTGACCGTTTTGAGTATTATTAATTATTATTGAAAATTAAGAATAACTGTTGGTACGGTGGACCCGTGGGGTGGTGTAGCAATTTTGAGGTTTACTGGTCTTTGTGATTCTCATAGCAGCATATTTCGTGCACAGATATCACCGACGCATTAAGTATCTCTACTCCATTATGTATCTTAATTAATAATTATATGTCGAACTGTTTATGAAATACATATGTAATCCAAAACCAATGCAGATTGCAAGACGTATTTTCCAAGCCTTTTAAGCTTAAAATTATAAATTTTTTTCCATAATAACAATAATAACCTTAGGATCATTTTATGCAAACTAACAGCCACCATAAAAAATCCTAGATCCACCCCTGTTATGGCATAGATATTTTTGAAACACGATTTTGTAACAAATATAGTTTATGGATATTGTTCGTGGAATACCGTCACACCCATAATACATAGTCGCAAAAAAGCAAAATTTTTAAGGTATGTCTTGAAACTCTAATTGTATTTAATAAAAAAAAACGTGGGACATCCCATCACCCCCAGCGATTTAACTGTGGGTTATCGACTTACAAACACAAAATTATTAATTAAATTCAATATCGATATCGACATCAGCCATCTGTTGAACAAAAGGAGTACAATACAAAGCTGCCAAACACACATAATATTATTATCTGTACCTATATAATATAGTACTTGTGCTGAAACTTCACCTCAGCCAAGAATAGCCGTCGAGGACCCGATCGACATTCGTCTCGGCTCCGGTTCGGTCTCGAGGACTCGTAGGTATTGTTCTCGAATACTCTATATGATAATAATAATAATGACAACGTATTTGTGTGTATACAAAAATCGGAATATCGAATTACACTATCTATATATTACGTACACATTTTTTTTTTTTGTCGACCCGGCCTTCCGATACACCCCGAGGGTATTATCGTCGTCGTCGTCGTTATTATTATTGTTTTCCACACACACACAAGTGGTAAGTGGTACGTGGCCGGCCAACCATATTATATCCACCGGTTGCACGTGCACTCCTGTGTTCTATACCCGGTTGTCTCACGACTAGCGGCCACGTGGGTTCTTGAGAGATCGCATGTGTGAGTGTGTGTGTGTGCCAAGGCAGACGTGACCCGTAAAAAAAAGCGTTTCGTGGCAGACACAAAGGAGACACGGACACGTTATCGGCTCCGTCATCGGGCCAGGCGGTGTTATCGTAATCAAAAAACGTGTCCCGACGTCGGTTGTGTGTTATAGTGGTCCGAGTGCATATTATATTATATTATTATGCGCACAGGGTTAACGCGCACACGTATATTATAACACGCATTTGAAATACACCGGCGATAATGGCCGAGGTAAGTTTCTACAGGTTTTTGAATCGCAACAAAACTTCAAAAATCGATTGACATGGGGCATTGGTTGATTTACCTCCAAAATATATGAAATATCGTAAAATATTTTGATTCAAACGCTCGTGTGAAAAATTAACTTGGAGCTAAACTTTTTTCGTTTTATCTGGAAGAACGGCTTCGAGCTCCGCTCGTGGTAAATCTGCAGTTCAAAACACTATGATACTATGGTATCAACTGTAGGGATAAGGCCAAATATTTCATTTTCGAGTATAAAGCCGGTTGAGGTGATAATATTATCAACAAGTACGGAAGCAGTTTTTCGATATTAAAATCCGTAGGTGACGCGGTGAACAAATTTAGTACTCAGAAATTTCATTTTTTTTCATCCCACATTTTTGTATCAACTATAGATATTCGAAATATACGTTATTTATTTCACATGGTTTTATTATACTTTTGATAATAATATTTAATCCAGAATTATAGTGAATCGTTTAATTCGTTGCCACGAGAACAAACAAATCGTGTATTTAAATACTAAAGAAAATAGCTAAAACACTTGTACGTCTGATGGCGTAATCGATACAGAATGTGTTGAAACTAAATAAGCTCTCCGAAAGCTAAACCCTCCGAAGCCAACTGCAGTAGGAGGTGTAAGTGCCGCTGGAGAGTTAGATTAGGGGCCCACATCTCTTTTTCACATTTCTTGTTCAGTAAGTTTTCCAAAAAAATAGCTATTTGATCCGTTCTACGTGAAACTATTAGGTTTAAATCAACAGGTAACTAACGTCCACGGTTCGATCCCCGGCCGATGACAAAATTTTTGCATTATTTTTTACTTTATTTTATTTCTATTGTTTATCGATTTACGTTACATCATATCACATTATACCTACTGTTATACTTGATACGAGTTTATTCTATTTTTCCTTTCCAGATATAGATAATATATAATATGTACCCTATTTAATGTTATCGGTGAATCGCTCGATGTATCATCCGGTCGTGCTGTAGTTAATATTTCTAGTTACCTTTCACTGTTGAAACAACCGACCAATGTTTTACCTGTCGTGTATTAATGATGCGCAAACGACCAACTACGATGCCAGAAATGGATTTTCGACGAGGTTTGTGGGTCTGCACGTCATCGTCGTCGACTCGTCTGTCGTCGATAAGGAAAAGTCGACTTTTAAAAGTACACTTCGCCTAACCTTCAGGACTAACGAAAACCAAGTAACAGTGGAGTGGCTATATATTAGATGCGATGCTCACAACAGACTGGCGTCCGATTTTTAGGCCCCAGAAAGATACATTAATTACATACAAATATTTTCATTTTATTCTCTCCAAAATAAGTTATATATTTCAAAAAATAATATATGCTTTTTTTGTGCAAAAGTAATGAATGAACAACAAAAATGTGTTTTAGTATTCAATTATTTTCACAATTATAAGTCACGATTGTATGTACCTAGTTAATATTATATAATATTAGGATTTTCCAGATTTTTTCGAATCCGACCACCGATATAATATTATACTTAGATCTACTGCGTTTGGTCGGACGATCGGTGGTGGTGGACGGTCTGTTTCAATGAATAGACGGGACACACGCGGACTGCGGTGAGTCTTTCGGGCCCGGAGCGATGAAAATCGTAAAAAATAATATCAATGAACAAAAAGAGGCGTTTCCGCGAGCGGGCTGTCGCGGCCACTATAAATGGTACAATATGATATTCGAATCTATTTGAGGTTTCGCGTACTATTGTCGTGCGGTGCATTATTATTGTTATTATATAAGAGTAGTGCAGGGTACATACGAGTATTGTATCATGTGTTTTCTATATACGCGATTTTTGGACCTCAGCCGCCGGTCGTCACCGCATTGTGCGACCGCGAAACGACAATCGGACTTCATCGATCCAATAAATCGGACGAGCACAAAGACCGCCGAGTATAGGTACCCTATAGACGTACAATAATAATAATAATATAATAGTACGGAGGCGCGCGCCGACCGACAATGGGGGGTCCCTTCGTTTATTTATTTGTTTTTTTTTTTCATATTTTCCCCGATTTCAAACCGTTTTCGAAACCTAATATCGAAAAACACACAACTGCAATCATAACAATATTACGCGTGTGCATTGGACGTCTCCTCGTGCTCGAATGAAATAATGTATCATATAAATTACACGTGCTCGAGTCGTAAACGTCAGCGTCCGCGGCCCGCGAGGATAAATTCACACGGAGACGACCTCATCCCGGGTGTCCGCCGAGGAGAGCCGTTTTCATCAGCCACCCTTCTGCCACCCTCCCTCGTCGCTCACATAATGATCCTCACCACCCTCCGACCGAACCTCGGTATTCCGACGCGAAACGGATACGGATGGGCTCGATTGTACGCAATACTTGCATGGGTACTCGTCTAATACTATATAGGTCGGCACGAGGTTAGAGACACATCTAGCTAAGAAAAGTAAGAGAGTTCGCCAACGATGTAAGTCCATCACAACCATATGGTACGTACTATGTCTTACAATTATTAGTAAAATCGGCAAAAGATTCAATTTAGGACGTGTGTCCGAGTGTTGGAGAAACGTTTCCGGGCACTCGTAAATGAAAATCGATTTTTCTCAGGGAAATTCGTTGGTACGAGAGATCCTCAGTCAGCGTTTTTATTGGCCGCGTTTGCCCTGCAGATACATATCCTCACCCTCGGCGTCTGTCTGTCTCCGCCGTCTGGTACTCTGACGCTGAACAGATACGGATGAACGACGCGATTGTAATATACCATAGTGTAGGTACGTATCAAGGGCGAGTGACATTATCATAAAAAAATAACTAAGAACCAACAAAATTGATTTTATTAAATAACAGAAAATAAATACACAACATAGATAAACGATGTACCTATGCAATAAACATAATAATATGCTAATATAATGCTAATATGTCATGTATTATAATATCATCAGTAGAAATAGTTTATTATTTACGATTACAAACATTTCACATTTGTCTAGGGGGTGACATGTCACCTCCTTGCACCCCCTAATGGGCGCCCTTGGTACGTATGCGTCGATTTGAAGTTGAATCATTGAAATGAAACGACCATATAGACTGCATTACTAATAATTGCTTTTTTCTACGAAATTTGGTGGTTTATTGCACCAAGCCCATAACTGGTGGTACAAAGTCCTCGGTCAGCGTTTTGAACAGCCACCTATGTTTGTCCCTCTCACCCAACATATCACTAATAATCCTAAATCTCACTCCCGAGGTCCGTTTGTGGTGGTTTGACCGGAATTCTGACGCGGAACGGTTACGGTTGAACGGGCGATACTAAAAAATTTTATAGGTAGCAGGTCATTTTGAAATTAAAACATTGAATGAATAAAAACAACGACGAGAGATCTGAAACGCTGTAGACACAGGAATCTTATCTATCATAAATGTAATCAATACATGGGTACTATTAAAAAAGAACGCATGAATTATTGTAAATTTCGTATTGTGTTTGGTGTTAACGTGTTGTGTAAGACTGAAATTGGTGTGAATCCGGATTCTTGGGAAACATAATTTCTCTGCAGGTGGATACGGAAACAAAAATCTTTAGTACGAATCGGTAGGTATAAATTATGGTAAAACTAATGTTAAAAATTGTCAGAGACAAGCGCCCATTGCTGCAGCTGTATGAAATGCTCGTGTTACATCGATAGAGGAAATTTTATCTCTTTATTAATCGGTTATTTTTCGTTTGAATTTACAGTGGCGAATAATCGTGCGACTCTGTGAAAACAATATATTTTATTTAAGCCACGGTTGTATTCGAACACCGGAATCACTTATTTTATACTGCTAAATTAAGCTATTAAAATATTATCAAATTATTGTTTTCGAAAAAGTGTATAATGTCAACGAGTTTCACGGGGCAAGACGCAGTTAGTGAATTCGTTGAAAAAACATTATAATTCGAACCTCTCGTAGGTACATTGAAACAGCGTTCATACACATTGTATTATGATAATATAATGAAGTACGCTTGATAAAATATGGTCGAAAAATCGAATCTCGTTCTAGAATTATGGTGTTTCCAAAAGTGTTACAAAACACAGGAAGCGTGTGAAAAGTGCATGAAAACCTTCGCAGTACACTGGTGCAGGTTGCACGCACAATCCGATCGGTGTGAGCGTATAATATAATAGTTAGGTGTGAAAAATTGTATTCCTGCGAAATCGGAAGTATAACGTCATTTATTACCACCCATTGAATGATTCGTCGATGTTAACCGCAGCTGTCTGTGTCGTAGGAGGTAGGTACTCTGATAATGGATAATTTTGAATACGACAATTATTTATAGATTGTGACTTTATTTTTTATTCAATAAAAAAATTCATTTAAAAATAACTATGGAAAAGCTCTAATCGCTTTTTTTTTTCAGAAATTCAGAAGACGTACCACATACACCACACACAACTTCACCCCACCCACGTAGAAAGAGAGAACTGTTACATGCATTAAACCTTAAAAGAAACATTAGAGACATTTTACAATATTCGGGTAATATATAATTTTGTATGAAATTTATGTGGTTAGTTCGATTTTTTAGTTAATTATTTGTTTATTGATAACAATATTCAATTTATTTCAAGAATATTTTTCAAGATATTTCAATGTCTAAACCAGGGATGGTCAACCTTTTTATTTATAATTTTATATATATTCAATAACATCAAATGTGCTGAAAAAGGAATGCAGGTTGACCACCCCTAATCTAAATAATAAAAATTTAAAAAAAATATCTTGTAAAAAAAAATTATGTTTTTTTCTGGACTACTGAACCGTATGTTACCCGAATAATAATGGTTATTAGCACCCAAATTTTTTCCCCTGTGTTTGAACACCCGAATACATACAACACTCAAAACCCGAAACCCCGAATAAATGATTTGGGTGCAAAGCCCTAAACTAAGCGAAATAGTGGTGTGCTCCCTCACGTACAAGTCACCAACTCGGCGTTGTGCGCCTGCGCGAGTGAATGGTAAACAATTTTTGGTCATTTGTAGGTATGTACTTTTTTTGACAATCCCACCGATAGACCTGATAACGTGATAAGACTTTTGAAAACTGTTTTAAATTCTTCAGTAATAATTATAATAATATGTCTACTTGAGATCTATCAGGCCTCTCGCCACTGCATATTAGGATATTTAATCTAAACTCCAAATAATATAATCATTCAAAATTTCATACATTTCGTTACAGAACCAAATTCGAAAAAAGTCGCCTGCTAGATCTCAATAAGCGAAGTCAAATCAGATCTCAGTGTTGTCATAGCGTTATAAGGTCCATTGTATAGTTTTATTGATAACAAATCGGTAAGTTTCGGTTGAAATAACAGACCAGATTAATTGCACACATCTTAACGTTCGGCTTGCTGTCGACAATAGTTTATTATTATAGTCCTACATTAATATTATATTTATTTTATTATTTCGAGTTAGAGTGTTTATACACTTGTGTTTCTATGTATTCCTGCAGACGGTTCAAAAATTAATCCGTAACAATATTTCGTTTTACTGAATTGTTTTTATTATTTATTACCTTTCACTCGCAGATGAGTACAACTAAGATGTCGTGTGTTTTGCCACCATCAGAAATGGAAATCAGTAACGCAGGTCACAGGTATAAGGTTGACATCCTGTACGGCCCGACCAAAGTCTGTGGAGTCCTTAAACACCGCACGACAAGGGTCGAACATATCAAAGGTACGTGGTAGGTAAATTTATACGCACTCGTAAAATGCTGTCAAAACTCCCACCAAAAAAAAAAAGAGTTCCAGAAACCAATTTATTATAGTATCGTACCCTCTTATGTTTTTGATTTCATTTAATTTTGTTTGATATTCTTTGATACTGTCAATTTAAATCTGATCGCTATAATAATTATAAACTCAGGAAGTTAAAAACCGTATATTATTCGAGTTGCAAACTTCTCCATCTTTTTGAAAAGTTATTAGGATTTGTAATTGTATTCATAATAACTGTATACAAGTATAAAATATATTATATTTATCTATTTTTATTTTTTTTCTTATCAATGCTGGGCAAGTTAATGATCTTTTTTAATTCTGAATTAGTAAATAAAAGTTTATTTAGCTGTTGGTTAACTTTGTTGCTTAGTTATTTTTTCGTTTATTACACTAGCCTAAATTAATTTTTTCTTACAAATTATTTTATTTATAGTTTATACAGTATTTCAATATAGTACGTAAGTACACCTACTACATTGAAGTTTTTCGTCAAGAAAAAAAAATTCATCAGACATATTTTTTGACAGAAAAACGTTATCAATTTAACCGTGATAAAATGAATTTACTTATCTTCTAAAAATGAAAATTTAATTCACTAAAAAAAATAATAAATTAAATTAGTAGTCATGTTAAAAAGTTAAAATAAAATAAAATTGTTCACTTAATTTTATAACTCGTTAATGCTTAGCCTTGCTTATTATAAGTACCTATTTTAGAATATAATACATTACTGATTCATAATACAAATTAATAACTAGCTATAGGTACTATACTACACTATCAGTTATAATATAAAGTGGCAAATCTCCATAGATTTAATATTGTATTCAACTAATTTTAAATAATTATAATAGGCTTATTTACTATTATATCGGATTATTTTGTGTATTTAAAGAAAAAAAAACATCCAATCACAAAATGCTAGAAAAATGGTAGGTATCTGAGTATAATGCGATTCCCTTTAATATAACAATAGTACCCAATAAGCCAATCAGCTATCTCTTTCAAAATCATATTTATTGGTAGAAAATAAATGGACCTATTCCTTCCTCTCGACTATTGTTCACATTTTCAGGAGATTCGTTCGGTATCTTACACGAGAGTGATCCAATCTATATAACCACCTGTTCGATAATATTAGAGTTTTCAATTTCCACCAGTTTAAAAGTTAACGTGACGGCTTTAAACATTCTTTTTAATATATTAAGGGAATTTTTTTTATATTATCTTTAAAAAAAATAGCTATATATTTATATTGTTTCTATTAACGTTGATTTTTAAATACCTATTTGTAAATTGTTGACCTAATCATAAATATAAATATAAAAATTGTTATTCAATTGTTATTAAACGGCTGCATACTAGTTGCGTCCCAAAGATAACTACGAAAAAGTGTCCTATCCTAGTGCGGCCCGATTAATATTCGTGATATCTGTCATACCCATATAATATTATTATTGTTCTCCATTCGATAATAACGACAGTAACAAGTCATAATAATATAGGTTTCTAACATATTCATAATAATATTATCATACAGTTAGGTTAGGTTAGGATTAACCAGTTCCATAATATTAATTAAACATATTTAATTCAAATATTTTATATATAATCCGTAATAACATTCTTAACCTAAAGGCTAAAAATATATCACACACGTTTAACAGTGCCATAACGTTAATTTAAAAATAATAACATTTTTAACCTACCTGTAGTATTGATGTTATACAGACGGTCCGAAGTCTGTACAAAAATGGGAAGGAAAATGAAGTTTAGAATGTATAATGTTATGTTTCGAAAATTGTTTAATCAGAAAAATTAAATATATCGAAACATCAGGGACGTAATTCGTATGTATGCTAAAAAAAACATGAAACAAAGTTTAATGTATCTACTTCAAAAAAAATTGAGCCGCAATTAGGAAGACATTTTTACCACGGGATGCCACTGTAGTTTTTAATTAATTATGCTCATTCTTTAATAATAATTTAATTAATAAGTATTATGTTGTTACTTGTTTGTACTGCAATGATCTATATGGCGTATATTATTATCTATAAATAAAAAGTAATTAAATAAAATTAAAATATTCGTCCGTACTTTATATGAATATTGAAAGTTCATGTTTTTGTGAATTTTTCACAAACCATCGGAAGATAGGGCGTTCGTTAGAGGAATTGAATAAAAACTTTTAGATTTGTATTGTAGTATTTAATGTTTGTGTGTCTATTATGTATGATAATTAATGATAATAATAATATATTAAACCATTACATATTGAAAAACATAAATATTATTTCAATTTTTTTTTTTAAAATAATAAAATTCACCATCGAAATTGAACGTTGCTCGGGTACATTATGTCACGGTCGGTCACCTTATTTGGTAGGTCAACTTCACAGAATATGATCAATTAAATATTTACCTATTATAACTTATAAGAGATACCAACAACTATCTACCTATGATCACGAACTAGAAGTAGCCATATTTCCTACCCATAACGCCGGTTGTTATAAAATTATGCTATTGAAATGTTTTAATTATTATGAGAAAAATGGGATCATACCTAGACCTCGTATTAAATATATTATTTAGTAAACTGATTTTTTTTCGCTTAAATATTTTCAATTGAAAATCAATAGCTAATCTTTGTTCAACGTAATCTCTGATGCTATCTATTATACCTATCAAATGTTAAACAATTATTTTGCTGTATTAATGCAGTCGTCAAATCGTCTTTGCCTGAATAGCTGCTAGCTGTTTTTGATGAATCAATTTATTGGTCTTAACAATGGAAAGATAATAAATAAGAAGAACATGATATTTGTCTTCGCACGATTTCGATATGACGACTTTTCTTTTAATTTGGATCTTTTTGACCACTCAGAGAAACTGGAAAAACTTGGATTTGAGGTAAAACTCAGGCGGACTATTGACTACGAGATGGTGATATTCGCGTTCGAAGGTCATACGGTTTTCACGTGCCTAGCAACCAACCTGTCGGTCTTGGGATGTTCAACCTATGACCCCACTGCGTGCCGACTGATCAAACTGATGTTGGCCGAACGAAATCATGCTAAATTAAGGTGTAAACTATGTTAAAAGAAAATTCACTGCACCAAAGATCAAACCCTGCGGAGATATAAAAATAGGGCATTAAATCTTGTCAGTAGGATGATTATGTAGGTTCTGGAGCTCCTCCCCCTTAAATTTTACATGTAAAAGCATAGGCTCCTCTGTATAGGCAGTTCGTAGTACAGGTTCTTCCCAAACTTGTATTAATTACTCAGTAATATAGGCAACCCGCAACACATATAAACTCGTCGCACGCCACCCGATCCGACACGTGACCGATATATATTTTATGCCTTCCCCTTCAAATACATTACCTCCCCTTTTATTTATCTCTTAAAAAAAAAATATATATAATATGTTGATGTGCATTTGTATCGACTATATCGATAACTTGTCTGACATATATTGTACCCCCTCTAATCAAATACATTACCTCCCCTTTTATTTTCCCCTTTAAAAAAAAAAATATATATATATATATAGAATATTCTGATGTACATTTGTATCGACTATATCATACATACAACCATACATATACATATATACATACATACATACATTATACATACATATTATGATATACATACATACTCATAATATAATGTAAGGTACATTATCACACATATTATCTAAAAATATTATGCTATTTTCAGATTATAATCCCATTCGAATAAACATCTCGCTGAAACTTACGTTATACATCGGAATGTATCTCAAACAGTGTTTGTTTCAAATAATATATTACAATATAGCTTACATATATACATACAACATACTTAGGTACATAATATTATATCCAAACAATTATATACACATCATTATCACACACTCCTAAACATATTTTACAATTTATATAATATATACGATACATAGGTATATTTATACATATAAATATGATATGACCATACAATTACAAACTATAATATACTATCAAACACACGATACCATATAGTCCTCATCAGTTTTACATTCCATACTTATATAATAATATTTACAATACCGACACGCACAACATAATACATACATTATCATTAAGTATGGAATGTAAAACTGATGAGGACTATATGGTATCATGTGTTTGATAGTATATTATAGTTTGTAATTGTATGGTCATATCATATTTATATGTATAAATATACCTATGTATCGTATATATTATATAAATTGTAAAATATGTTCAGGAGTTTGTGATAATGACGTGTATATAATTGTTTGGATATAATATTATGTAAGTATGTATATATGTAAGCTATATTGTAATATTGTAATGTTTGAAACAAACACTGTTTGAGATACATTCCGATGTATAACGTAAGTTTCAGCGAGATGTTTATTCGAATGGGATTATAATCTGAAAATGGCATAATATTTTTAGATGATATGTGTAATAATGTACCTTACATTATATTATGAGTATCTATGTATATTATAATATGTATGTATAATGTATGTATATGTATGTATATGTATGGTTGTATGTATGATATAGTCGATACAAATGTACATCAGAATATTATATACATATTTTTTTTTTTTTAAAGGGGAAAATAAAAGGGGAGGTAATGTATTTGATTAGAGGGGGTACAATATATATCAGACAAGTGTTCGATATAGTCGATACAAATGCACATCAACATATTATATATATATTTTTTTTAAGGGATAAATAAAAGGGGAGGTAATGTATTTGAAGGGGAAGGCATAAAATATATATCGGTCACGTGTCGGATCGGGTGGCGTGCGACGAGTGTATATGTGTTGCGGGTTGCCTAAATTGAGTAATTAATACAAGTTTGGGATTAGCCTGTACAACGAATTGCCTATACAGAGGAGCCTATATGCTTTTGCATGTAAAATTTAAGGGGGAGGAGCTCCAGAACCTACATAATCATCCTACTCTTGTCAAAACTAATGCAACTGATCCGAGAGTTTTTAATAACTATCTCGTGGACCATGGTAAACATGATTATGGTACGTCCGTTCTAGTACTGTAATTGTAAAATATTATTGATAATATATACAATTATTATTAACAACGTAGGATTTAATGTTATTTTTTAGTAGAATTTCTAAATCCAGAATCTGATAACATCCCACGCGTTCACGACATCATCGAGCGTCATTAATATTACTAGTGCAGTGTAGGTTACCAGTAGCATATATATATTTATTTAATATATACGGAGGTAAGTCCTAAAACATAAAATTGCATTACATGTATTGCACGTGGATTGTATAACAAACATAATACAATAGATATAATATATGATGTTATATAGACCATAAATAATAGTTTTGATTTTCTTCTATTTATTTGTTGTTGTTACATCGAATCAATGATAACCGAATGATACCTACATCATTCAAAATTCAAAAAAATGAAGTATCTAATAATTGTACCTAATCTAACCATGACAACAAACAAATTAATGCCAATCACTTCAACTGTTTGCACATGCATTTTTTAGTCGAATCGAGACTGACTTAACCGAAATCCTTGTAAGGGAAAGAGAGCTCCATGTGCGAACCAAGTGCAACGAGATTCCTATAGTTTAGATATAATCACTTAGACGTGTATAATCATTTGCAGTCCTGCTAAAATTCCACCCCTTTCTATTTCAGATTTCTAGATCCGGGCTTGTGTATTATACATTTATTATTTATATAGGCAGTTGTAGAATCGAAAAAATCAGAATTACGGGTCGTAAATAAATCGAAAAATTTAAACCCGTGCGCCTATATATTATGATGTAGTTCATATAATCATCATTATTACTATAATCATTATTGTTAGTGCCATCGTCGTCGTTATATAGTCATAACATTATATCGGATCGTGGAAAATCTGGTGCAGCAATCGTGAGGTGCAATCGCGTATAATAACAATAATAATAATAATATGTAAGTACGCGTAACTCGGCTTGTTTATAATATTAATATTATATACGGGTACACTGCAGGCAGCAGTCATCCCGTCCGAGATAGTAATCGATATAATGATACTACACTGCTGTTATTACCTATACCTGCCTACTATAACATTACCCACGACCGAAAACAAATACAATAATCGGTGTGTATAATACGGACGATATTGTAATAACAATAATAGTAAAATGCATCATATCGTACTCGTGTATTATAGCTGCTGTCGCGTGTAATCGGGAAGCTCGGAGACCGCAAGAACGGATCCTCTGCAGCCATTTACTGCTACCCAAAAACGATAATAATATAATAATTATTGCCATACACGACTAATACGACGACCACCCCCTCCACCCACGATGAGAGGAGGCGACCGAGCTTTTTATAACCATATACCCCGATTACCACTCGAGCATGCGATATACCGGGTGATATCGTCGGATTCATATCAAGTCTTTAGAGACTACGTTTTTTTTATCCTTATAATTTTTTGAGTTTTTACTTTTTTGAATACTATACAACATATAGGTACGGTTTTAGTTTCATCTTCGAAAGCGAAATATAACTTTCCAAATATTTCGATATGCAAAAATCGAATGAGCCGTTTGTGATTTAAACATATCTTATAAGTTGAAGTTTTTAAGTGGACCAACACATAGCGGGGTAACCGCGTTCCACTCCACTAATCAAAACGTTAAATACATAAAAACTCAGAAGGTACGCTCGTCCTAAATTCGATTTGTATATTGTATCGAAATACTCAGAAACATAATATTCTGCTTTATTAAATGAACAGTTATAACTGCACGTCGTCATTCAAAAACGTTAAAAAGTTTAAAAAATATTCAACGCTTTCAAAAATTTTGTTTTTTAACGGCTAGAAACAATTTTTTTTTTCCAAAACCATATTTTGTACTTTTTGAAATGACGCGTGTTCGATGATAAAAGAATCACCCGGTATATTTTAAGAAGATACTCGAGGTATAGGTAAGCTGACGGGTAATTGAAGGGTTCGTCGTGACACGTGAAGTCAACGGTGTAGTAAACACATAATATTTCATAGGTATATACCGAGATACCGTACTACGCGTGCGTGTATAATGATATGATCGTTGTAATAATACCATATATAGTTATTATGGTTTACGTATAGTTTAGCTGCAGGTCCGTCATGTGTGCGTATGGGAACGAGCAGCTCGGTAAATGCGGCTAATAATCGTGTTATTATTACCGCGTTGCATATTATACGCGTATACGGGTATTATGTATACCCGGTCAGCGGTATACCGGATCGAGCGGGGGCGTAATCGATTTCGAGCTGTACCTATAACTCGCGCGCTCACCGCACGATCAGTCACTCCAATACCTAGGTAGGTGCATAATATAAATGGATACATCCTTTCTAATATTTTCATTTATTATTACTATATTTTTTTCCACAGTATTATATTATAAAATATGTATGTAATTCGCTTTGACGGTTACGCGTTCGTAACTCATCGCACACATCTCCCTTATAGAGTATAATACCCATATATATATGGCATCGGACTATATAATATCATTGATACGATATCATGTGCGGAGCGATGCTTAACGTGAGGTATAATATATTTATTTTTTTTACGCTCGAAAACCGCAACGTATCGTGCCAAACGACAGGTGCAACGCGGTCGTGGTAGGTATGGTTACCTATATTATATATATTACAATATAATATTGTATGTGCATTATTTTTAATGGGGCACCTGCAACGCCGAGCGTCCGCCACGTCATTCGATTTTTCGAACGTTTTATTCGAAAAGTCTATTTGCATAATGTAATAATAATATTATTGTCGTATAATTATTGTACGTTTGTATAATAATATTGTTGTGCCGCGGCCCGCGACGACCGATGACGACGATGTTATCACGTGTAGAGATAAGATTTATGAACACGTACAGGGTACGAAAAATATCAAAATAATATATCATAAATTATTACTGTTATGCAGAGTATCCGACCTCGAGAGGGGACGTCGTGTAACTCGTATGATATTATTTATATTGTAATTAATACAAGTCGCGAGCAAAACACGCGATCGTCGGCAGACGATTGTT